GTTGTTACCTTGACGGAGTCTCTATTATGGTCTTTGGAATATACATGGCAATGGTCATTTGAGAGGAAATGTGCATGTGCTTTGATGAGCGAGTGCATAACAAGAGTCAGAGTGTCACCCATGAAGGAAAGTAATTGGAAAGTGGCAGATCATTAAAAAAACAACAATAATAAAACTGTTCTGTGGCTTTTTTAGCCAATCAAAACAGCTGGAGGGGGCAGACCAAGCGACAAGTTGTGAGGTTGTATTTCATGGGTTTGATTGCCTTCCTGGCAATTTGGAAGTGCAGCGAAAGACTGGCTTTCTAGGATGGGGTGGTGTGTGTTGTGTGTGAGCTATGTGGGCGCTCACAAGTGCTCAGTTTTACTTTAAGGATTCGGTGTCAGAAGTGAAAGGTTAAGTCCTGTAAATTACAAGGGTCTTATTTTAAGTTTTGCCTTTGTAACTGTCAGAAATTAACATTATGGGGAGATTGACGAACACAGAAACATCAATAATAGTAACTCCTTCATGGCAAAAAAAAAGCATGAGATTATCAGTAATCTATCTACAAACAGTTATTTAAAAAAAAAATCCGTAGTAAACATCACTATTTACAGACAGACAGAGGACATAACTTTAGACTACAGAAAATACATAAAATGGTCTGTCCTTAGGCATCCATTAGTTTCTTACTCTGATTAAGTGGGAAATAAAGTACCATAATTACTATATCCCTGAATTATCTTTAACCAAATCACACAGGTAGCTATTCTATGTTATCTCCTTTTGATAACTAATCAAATAACTAACATCATACTTTTTCACTTCCATTCACTGAAACTGCTTGGGGCTCCCCTGGGGAGATACACCTCACAAAATGAAAACCTCTGCTTTAGAGGATCTAAATAAAGTGTCTGAGCACCTGAATCAGCGGTTCCCATTTTTTCTGGCTTGAAAAACAAACAAAGCAAGCCAACAGGGGTGTTTTTACCATCTCAGGTTGTTTCATTATTTTATTTTGTTTTGTTTTTAGGCCTGAAGAGGTGAAAGCAGGGCGGGGATTGCCCCCTCAGTTTGGGCTCATGCCCCTTAAAAAAAGATGTGCCCTTGTGTTTGGCCTGTCAAATGAAGTGGCCTTGATGCCGCGCCCACACTGCCCCACCTGATTGTGCCGTTTTCTCCTCTGCCTCTCTCCTGTCAATACGCTTCTGAGACACCAGTGTCTTTTGTTGAGCGCGTGGGCTTTGAGCAGCCCATACAAAAGCAAGAGAGAGAGCTGCGTCGTTGGCCCACTTCGATTATGAACCAGCCCACATCCTCCTCCTCAAGATCTTCAATACCTGTTCAACTGTTACTCAAGGTTTTGCAACTGAAGCGCAAGACAGAGGACAACAGGGATAATTGTGGTACCTTTTGTTTGAAAACAACTTTTCATAAAGTTGACACGCTCGTCGATGTCAAGAGAAAGCATGTGGACAAGCGAGAATGCATGAGTGTACGAATATGGACAGAATGGTCGACGTGATATAGAAACTTTACACATACAATACAGTGGATACTGTCTGTATACTGACTACTATCAACAGCAGTAGCGCTGGTTTTACTGGCGCAGCGGCCCGCATTGAAAATGTTCACAACCTACTGCAAAGTCACCTGTGGGGGAAAATATAGCAACAACTCTGAGAGAGAGAGAGAGAGAGAGAATTTAGAAATAGATTGACACAAACTAAGACAGACTAAAAGGAGAGAAGAAGAAACAGAGAAATAGATGCAAAGACAGAGAAAGAGAGAGAGAGAGAAAGATAGAGAGAGGGTTCAGACAGAGTTCAGTGTCATTAATAAATGATTGCAGTTAGCAGCGGCTCGACTCCAACATGTCAATAAAGCGGACAAGCAGCTCTCATTGCTCTATTTGCTCTATTTCCCCCCCTCCCCCCAGAGCAAAAACTGTTGACAGAATAAAAATCAGGCGACGTCCTTGGATTTCTACTTTGTAAGGGCACTGTTTTTGTTTTTTCTATCCTTTTTTTTCACTTCAGATTTTAACACTGGAAAATCTCTGTTTTTGATCCCACCAGTTTGCCCTCTCTGATCTGACATGCTTGGGGGTAACAGCGGAGGAGCCGATGCTGTTCATCTTCTACGGGGAATATCTGAAGAGTTTCAGTATGTGATGCTCTCCCTTTGAGAAAAATCGCCGCCCACTTGAGCCTACAGGTACAAGATGGTGGATCACGAGAAGGTAAAGTGCACTATAAACATGATGAGTCATCTACAGACTGCTGCTTCTTCAGTATTTCTAGTCTTGGGATAGAGTCCTTTGTGATTTAGAAATGTTATAATGATGAAGTTCTGTTTTTGTTTTTTTTCATACGTAATTCTTCATTTGACAATTGAGATACATGTCCAGAGGTGCTGTTATATTACAGGGTAAAGAGAGTTTTAGAAGGACATAAGCATTAAAAAGCCTTTATTTTTTATGTGCTGGTTTACTACAGATTGTATTGACCCAAATCTTGGCAGTCCACTCCCACTGTAAGGGCCCACCTCGATTATAGGGACCAAAAAGGTGACACAACTGCACAACTTTAGCTATTTAAGTTTTATTTTAGCTTCAAACTTTGTTTTATGTTAGGGTTAGTCATGTAGATCTGATGTTTAGGGGTAGAATTTTGTTCAGTTGATTGATTGGTTGTTCAAACTAATATAAGGAGGCGATTTGAAATAAAAAAGAAAAAACATATGGGCCTAAACATACTCATATATCCTCAATAGGCTAAAAGAAACAGCCACGGGAATTTCTCTGAACGACCCACATGCACATTTGTCAATAAACAATATGTGCATGTACAAACTTCAAATAGTGTTACTTTCGTCGGAAGGAACTAGACAAAATATATTTGTCAACGACCTTTTTTTCCGTCACTAAAACGAGACGGTGACAATGTCTCTTAAACACTAGCTGTGTTTCCATCAGCGTTTATTAATGCGCATTTTGAAGTATCGCATTAGAAAAGGTTGATGGAAACGGCAAAATTCGAAAAAGAATCCTTAATTTCGCAAAAACGTTTTTACGCTCGCTTGAGGTGGTTTTTACCTTCGTCGAAAAAGAGTAAACGCGCTAAATGGGAGATGGAAACACTTTTTCCGAATAAGTTCTGACGTAGCGAACTTGTAACTCACGACTGATCAGCTGTTTCTGCTGTCGGCATCTTGCCCGGTTGTGCAGAGTTCTGCATGCCTGCCGAGAATTTGACGCACCTCGCGGCTGGTAACACTCATTTGTGCTGAGAAAAGAGGTGGATGCAAAAAGGTAGCGTTCATCATCTGTTCTGCCGAATTATGTATGCACCTCTTAAAGGTCCTTTTCAAATACTTTGCTCTGCACACTGATGAACGGTACTTCAACGTGTAATAAAATATTAATGACTCTAAACGTTCATAAAATATATACTACGAATCATTTATCATCGTTGATGAACCACACAAAGGATAATATAGCGTTAAGCACTATTTCGAGGTGCATGCAATTCTTGGCAGGCATGCAAAACTCGGCATAACACCGGATATTCCCATAACATGCGGAGACATGGCTGGCAAGATCAATGGCCATCAGGTTCATGTGACTGGTTTTGTTTCTGGTTTGGAACACATACGTAACGTCAACGACTGATGTATCTGCGTTTGCTGTAGCCTTTTTCTTTTTAATTCGCATGACAATATGATGGAAACATGGCTACTGAATGTGACTATATTAAAATGCAATATTGTTGATGAAAAATTACAACACTAAATACGACAAAAAACAGAGTGCCTAATTATATCGGACGGCAAGCAATGTGGTTATAAGATTTCTGGAAAAAAACACTATGAACTTGACACAGGACTAAGACTAAAACAACATTTTAAAATGGCTGACAAAAGTAATACTAATTTGAAATGGCTAAAAAATTGAAGTAGTCAGTGTTAAGTGAGAGAACTCTCTGCGTTTGCAATCATTGCTGATAATGTGTTTTTGAAAGCCAAAAAATAAATGACTCAACATGAACAGATGCACTGCCCTGACATATTTATAGCCCTATAAAATTGTAATAGCTAATGTGTTAGCAAGCAGTTGCACATCCAGCAGACACAGGGCAACATTAGCATATATTCATCCACATTAGCAATAATTTGGAGTTGAATTGGTGTCCACCTGACACTGAAGTCCAACAGTCACTCTCTTTTAGCTCTGTTTTGGTCTGCACCAGCTCCTGAGAAAAACATTTGGCTCTTTAGCTGCTAAATGTTCCACTTTCTTCACTAGCTGGTCGCTAGCTTTGTCTGTCTGCTGTTTGGTGTTGGGTATGTAAAGTAATTGTAATCAATCACCAGTGTATCGCCATAATGTCCCTTTGTTGGGGATTGTTAATATTTTGTGCTAATAAACATTTAATTACATTAAAATACCAATTATTTTGCTGGCTATGTGATCCTAATTTGATTAAAACAGGCATATCAGACTGATAAACCACAACTATTCCAAGATGATGTCAATTTTTTGCTATCTAGAAAGGCTGATCTGCCGCACAGATTGTTTGTCTGCCGTTTATTTGAGGCAGCCACTGCAAAACCTGGAAAATGCTCATGCCAGAAGTGTGAAACTGCTGGGTTTATGCTTGTGAAAATACATGAATGGTGTGAAATGTGTCACTTCCAGTGTTCTGGCTCTAAACAGACTTTATTTATTAGCATTTTTAACCAGAACAGGTGCAAACCCATCAACAGTCTCAATAGCAATATATTATTCAGAGCGGGAGCAAACACCGCAAATGTGCAGGTTTGTGTTTTTTTATGATACTCCACCACACAGTTAGAGAAATAAATAGTTTAAACCTGGAGAACAAATACCAGCTTTAGATTAGATAGTGATTTTCCGCTCACTCCATGAGGACACACATTAACACAGCAGGAAGGAGAGAGCAACCTGTGTTTTTCTGCTAGAGAGTGACTGACTGATAAAAAGCAGCAATACGTACGAGAGCTCCGCAAAGTCGGCCATCTGGACTTTAGCCCTGCGAGCCAGGATCTGCATCAGGTGGAGGCCTTCGTCTGTCTGCAGCCCACTGATGAGAGGAAATAAGGGATGGTGTGAGCAGGTAAAGAAGGTGAGAGATAGGGAGAAAGAAAAATAGAAATTAAATTAAACTCATCCCAAAGTGGAAAACAGAATTCAAATTTTTCAGAAAGTAAATTGTATTATTGTATTAAACCACCAAATTCACAGTCAAATTGGCCATCTGACTTTTTATTCATGGTGTAATATGAGTGCAACCAATGTCATCTCTGGTAGATAGAGAGAATTTCTGATAACATGCTAACCTGTAAGCACTCGGTTTGCTAACTAAAACATGCTAAAACAAGAGGACAGATCATTGAGTTTATGTTTTTGTGTCATTCGTTCATCAGATAATTATTAAGCAACAAAAAGCCAACAAAAGTTCAGTTTCCCAAAAAGTTGCGGTTCAACTACTACACTGAAATGATTAAGCAAAATTGTCTTTCTCTCATTCATGCATCTAAAATTCAGGACATGTTTGTCTGAAAAAAAAAAGTTCAAAAGATAAAACCAGGAAGAAAAAGAAAAACAATTCTACAGAAGCTCCTCTGTGATGTCAGGTAGGTAGGTCAATATTGTATAGGGGCAATACCGGACGCTGCATTTTCAGGACCCCAGCAGTCCCGGGACCACATTTGTTACAGCGCCATCTAGCGGATTGGTGGTGGTAATGCACAGCAACACAATGGAAGTTAACCCTGGCTGCTAGCATGTCTGCCGTGAGGCCGATGTGCGCAGCTGTAGAGTTAACTGGTCGCCATGCATACAATCAATAACTTAGGTTTAGACACACACCCTGTGATGGTTAGGGTAAGGGTAATAGGCTTCGGGGGGCTGTCAAGAGTAATATAGTTAGCTAGTTAGCTGGCAGTATCAAGGAAAACAAGAGTCCTACAAATGCAGATTTGCGGTCCTAAAAATGCAGCGTCCGGTACTGCAGCTACATACTACTCAGGTAGGTAGGTGGGAAGTGTTGTTTGGTGGCAAGGTGAATGCTGATGAGGTGAGGAAAGTCATAGACAGAAAGTTGTTATAATCACTCTCTATTCCCTCATTTTAAGCTTTAAAGTGTGTGACAGGGAGCAACAAGGTCAGAGAACTCTCTGGTCATTCAATAAATGGCAATATTCCACAATAAGAATGGCCTCTGTCGTGTTTCTGCCGGAGGACTTCCTCAAACTGAAAAACGGATCTAGTAAAGGTCTGGTACATATGTATTCTCTTTGCCAAACAAAGGACTTCATCCCACACTTGTCGACTAACAGAATTTAAAATGATAATGGAACACTGCTTGCTGCTCTGTGTGTGTTTGTGGCAGATACCGGTTTAAGTTTAAGTTATGTACTCTACATAAAGAAAAAAACACAGTTAGAGGTGTCAAGAACCAAAGTCCATTTACTGTTAACTTACTGTTTTAACTCAAGTACTATACATGCCATTCTGACTCCTACAAATGTAAGTGCTACAGATTTCCAGCACCAAATGCATTTTCAAAGAAACATAATGTCAGAGTTTGTTTTAAATCAACAGAATAGGGAACTTTTAATCTTTTAACGAGCGCTGTGAGATGAACATAATCATGCATAAGTTGCTACAAGCAAATACTGTAAAAGAGTGAAATATGTAGTTAGTGAGAGAAAAATGTTCATACATTCAATGCTCATACATTTCCTAATTATGTTGAACAGAATGTCGGTTTCTTTCAAAAACGATCTGCTGTTGCAAATTTGTAGTTTGAAAACGTAATTTCTTGCAGACAGGGTTGCCACAAGCCACCCCAACTACCTCATCACAATGTCTGGGAAATAAACCTTGTCCATGAATATAGGCAGCAATTATGTTCCCTTCCAAGCGCGTTTCAGTTTCAGTTCACCTTTTACTCCACTGCATATATCTGACTGATTGAGTTACTGGTTACTTACTAGACTAGATACTGACATTATAGTCTTCATAAGCTGCTGCCAAAAAAACTGTGAAGTCTGAAACTCTGAAAATTGTCTTCAGTTTCTTTGATGTTTCCTTCTCTACATTTCCCATGCTTTGTTTTATCCTTCCTTCATTCCTGTTTTTTTTCCTTCCTTACATATAATTCCTTCTTTCTTTGTGACTCGTCTGACCTCCCCTCAGCTCCCTCTACTGAATTCAAATACAGAAAGGAGACACCTGCAGACACCTGCAGGATGCATGTTATCTCCCTGAACACCAGCAGTCATTTTCGGATGACTCTGATGACAGTAAAGATAGAGAGGAAAGAGATTTTCTGTTGTGAAAACTCATTTTTTAAACATATTTAATTACAATTAGCAGTTGTCTACTTTCTTGTTTCCCATCTTATGCGTTTAGCACTAACTGGATTTTCTCACCAGGATTAATGTGGGAAAATTTAATTTTTTATTAATTTTTGTTATAATTTGGATTAACTGACCCTTTAGAGTCATGAGCTTGTCCTATTATTACCAGTATCTTAAAAATCTCCTGGTTGAATTGACGACACCTGCATCACTGGAAAGGACACAAGTATAGATCACATGACAAAATTTAAGTTTCCCATTATGTGGGAACACAAAAAATAGACAATAGCTTTAACTTTTTGACTAAAATGTATGTTAAAGACTTTGCAACTTAATCTGTCATTATATCCTCAATATAGTTACAAAATGTGTTTGTATATAAAAATATAGTCTTCTCTAAAATGACACATGAATTGACTATTGGGGGGCAGAAAACACACCCTCAGTGGCTACTCTGACAGAAATTCCATACAAAAAAAAGACCTTAGTGTATATCCGTTCAGAAGAAGAATCACAGCATCTCATTGTTTTAGTAAAGACTAGGACAGTCAAAAACAGATATTCTTCCTATTTCACATGTCTGGAAAAAAAAAAAAATAACATCAGCAAATGTACTGTACTTTGTTTTAAATAATAAGAGAATACGACTGACTCTGGGTGAATCACCATTAAGAAAACTAGATTGTCTATGTATGAAAAGTTACTGATAGCCGGTGATTTTTCTCAGAGCAGACAGCAGCTTCAACAGCCCACAATATGAGTCAGTCTTCCACAGTGCAGAGCAGCTGCTTTCAGATCTGACACCAGTGATCGCTTTGCCTGCAGATCCTGAGTGCTGATAGCTGCACCGGAGACCTGAAAGCCGCTTTTACATTAGCTCTGCAGTGCACAGTAGGTGGGTTGTGATCCTTCTCAAATACGACAGCCTTTAACCGCAGTTTTTTTTTATGCTACATTTCCTATCATTCTGCTTCTACACATTTTCAGTATAATGACAACTGCTCACAAAACCAAAGTCTGTACTGTCCAGTGTCTTTGCTGATTAAAAACCTCTACTGCTACCAAGAATGTGAATATTTCTGATGGCGACAAAACATCAAACACCTGTGGCTGAAACAACTTTGGATCCAAAGCAATGGTTTCCAAACTTGAGTGAGGGTCTTCCTACGATAATGCACCAACAACCAAGAAAAATTTACAGTTCATAATCCCCAAATGAATATGCGTAATCCCGTGACCTTTCCTCTAGCAACAGCAGGTCAAAGTTAAAATTTATTTACTCACTTAAATATCTCAGTATCGACTGGACAGGCACAAAAAATTGTGGTTCCCAGAAAATGTATTCAACTGACTTTGGTGATTTCCTTCAGAAACATCAGATGGTGTGAAATTAGTAACCCTGATAGTATTTAGAGCTTTGGATTTAGCATGTTTAGCATGTAGTGCACGGAGTGTAAAACGGGGGGACAAAATGTCTGTGGATAAACATTTTTTACATAATTAAGGATTATTATTGACCTCAGGAATTAAAAAAAACAAAACGTAGGCAGTTTTTTCCTGCCAATTACCAAGTACTGTCTCTTTATTAATCAAGCTAATTAGAGAGCAAAATCTATTAAAATCAGACTGTAGTTTGGCAGCTGGCATTTTAAAGCTTGTTAAGGAATATTTGTAGGAGATTTTAAAGGAATTTTACAGGTGTTTAATTATTTTCTACAGGTTTTTAACATGCAAACCACAGCAGTGATGTGCACACAGTTGTGTGTTTGTGTGTCCGATGGGAGAAAACGAATGAAAATGTTTGTCTACATGTCCACATGTATGTGTGTGTTGGGGAGCAGGTGTTGTGAATCACCCTGTCTTCCTCCTCCTCCTCCTCTTCACCCCTGGCCACAGGAGAAGGTGATACACTGAAACCACCATGAGGCTCCTGCAATCAGCCTTCACCTCTGCCACAACGCCAAAATGTCTGGACTTTGCATTAAAGCTGTCTTGTTACAATTGTAGTCCTGCACTGACGCGGGTATTTTTATTTCTATCACTGTGGTTTTTGAAAAGGGAGGATGGACAATTTGAAGACAATCTAAAAATCTAGTATCATTCATTTCTCATATAAAGTGATGATTTATCAAATTTAAAGCCTTCAACATATCTGTATTCTGATGGTGAGCTATCTATAACTGACCACTTTTATTTTCGTATTAGAAATAATAAATGAAGTAATCATACCGTACATTACACAACAGAGTTCATAAGATCAAACAGTTAAGAAAAAGTAAAGTATAAAGTATCTTTTCAGTAATCTCTATTATACAAATACTCAAACCATGGCCACAAAAAATACTATGTTCTGACTGGCAGCTTTTAAAGAAAAAGTAAGCTACATGTTTTATTAATATGCTTATTCACTTCATTTAACCAGTCTGAAATATGTAGGCTAAATATGAAGCTACAGCCAGCAGCCTGTTATCTTATACATTCAGTGTGTAGGTTTTAGCGGCATCTAGTGGTGAGGGTCGCAAACTGCAACCTGATTGGAACCAAGGGTTCAGCCACCGCTCCCCCCCCTCCCTTTGCAAGCACACAGGAGAAGCTACGGTGGCCGACACCCTCTGTCGGCTCTTGTGCTAAATAATATCCTCCATTTGTCCAAATTTCACTCTTCCTAATTCAAATAAATCAAGCGACGACGACGACGACGACTACTACTTTACTACTAATACTTTCAGAAGTATTTAACGTAGTGACGAAATACGCTCTGTAGAGCAGTTTGTCCGTTTGGGCTACTGTAGAAATGGCTCATTCTAAGGTAATAAAAAAAAAACGGTTCAATATGTAAGGTCTTTACACACCACTGAAAACATAGTTATGTATATTATATTGCATTTCTGTCGATAGATCATCTTAAATATTACACACTGAACCTTTACGCATAAAGCATAACAACTGGTAACAGGGGGAAACAGCTTGGCTGGCTCTGTCTAAAGTAAAAAAAATCCAACTACCAGTACCTCGAAAGTTCACTAACTAAAAAGTTCTTCTTGTGTAAAAACTTTTTTGGGGGCCAGATGACTTATTTAACAGCCTCAGTAACTACCTGGAGTCTTGTCATTAACGTGAGGTTGGCAGACAACCAGCAGAGACTCCGGGAATTGAGTCCACACAGCCAGGACACAGTGACATTATTATATCACCGCTGTCTTATTGTGGATTTCAGGGTGGATGGCTGAGCCAGAGCATGTACCTTCAGTTCACTTGCATTTACTATCAGCAGTCAACAACGGATCCTTTAAACTATGAAGGTGATAGCTAATAAAGATGACACCTTTATCTTTAGTTAGCACAGTTTTATACAAAACAAATGAGTATATACCTATGTTAGCATCATTGTTATGGCTCCCTGTGACGTTGAACATTTATATATATATCGGTACCTTTTTTAGAATAGTTTTTCATAGAAATAGCTGAGTACTTAAATTTTTAGTCTATGCATTTTAATGGCTTTGTTTGTCCCCACCTTTTTCCCTTTTACTTATTTGCTTTTTGAATCTTTATAAAAAGCTTTTGATTTATACATTTGATGTAAATACAGGTGCTACAGATACAGAGAAATACAACGGCTTCAAGAGGTGTTGTTGGATTATCTGATCAACAGACATGCTAAAACTCTGCGTGCAGGTTGCTCTTGTGGAAGCTGGAGACAACTCATCTGATCTAGACTCATGCTGAAAGGCAATTTCTCCATCAGCTTCACTGCAGTCAGATGTGGCTGTAAAACCAACTGTCTCTTGACAAAGTAAAGAGTTTGAGGTTTTTTCATTCTTCAAACAACACCAAGATGTGGATATTGAGGCTTTTCTAGTACAGAAGAATCTTTGGATTACAAAGAGGCAGTTCTGTTTAGAGGTTGATTAAGAGCCTCTTGCACTGTAGGGCTGCAACAATTAGGTAATCAACGACATCGACTATAAAAATTTGTTGACGTGAAATTTCATTGTCAGTCTTGTCGTTGACAAAAATAATCGTGACTAGTCGATTAATCGAAACAATTATTAACAGATTAGTCGACTACGAAAATATTAGTTGCAGCCCTACTCTGGAGGAAGCGCAAAGTCTTGAAGTGGCATTTTTTCCATGTTGTGGTTGATGCTCTAACTTGTGGTTGATGCTCTAACTTGGCTTTCTTGAGGAGAGACTTTCGAACCGTTGAGGACAACTTTGGTGTCCTTTTGAAGTTCAGTGATCTCACAGAAATGTCAAGAGTCACTGTGAAGGGTTAGAGAGGAATCTGCTGAGTACACTGAAGAGTCTGAGATCTGTGGTACAAAAGCGACTGAGGACATCTCAAACTTTCCAGCTGTTCACCTATGACCAGAGCAAGTCTATTTCATGAAGTTACAGGAGTTGAACCTCGATATATATAAATTGCTGTCAGATTGCACTAAAGCCTCTGAAAAGCCTCTGCTGACTGAAATTTTCCCAAGCTTAAACATAGGAACATAGAAAACTCCCCTTCTGTTTGCTGCACAGAGAGAGATGGCACTCACTGCACCCCTCACTGCTTCACCAACATTTTCAAGTGATTAAACGGTACCATTTGAACCCATATGCCACTTGGTGTTAACTAAAATCTAATGATAGATGTCTAAATTTTTGTAGTTTCTCCTGCCCAAACAGAGAAGGCTAGGAGTTTCTTAATAAGCCCTGGAATCTGCAGATGGAACCTCAAACTTCATGCTTCATTTGAAGTGTTCATTTAATTGCACCTTTTAAGCGAATGCTTTTGTCATGATCCGGATGCTCTATAGTGTTTGATGTTAAATTAAGTTAGAAATTAGAAAAGATGCCTAATCTTTCACAAATACATAAACTGCCATGCGGTAAGATCAAGCGAAGGAAGGCTTGTACAGGGGAGGAAAATCTTGAAGCTATTTATTTCCTTGACTTTTGGAGTTTCCTCCTCCCATCATGTAAGGCTACTATAGCTCAAACAGAAATGATCACGTTGATGGGTGTAGGCTATTAGATTTTACTATATGTATTTAAGTTTGTTGTTTTTGTTGGTGCTCTTTAATTTAAGTTTGCTGTGCCTATAATATTTCATTAGTCTTATCTGGACAAAATTTGACTTTTGATGTTATGTAGACTGCAATTTCCCCCTGCAGGCTAGTTTCATCTTTGTTTCAAACTAAATATTGTAGTGAAACCAAACAGCCTTGCAAAAAATTGCCAATATGTGTTTTTTAGACATACAGCAGATGTAGCATTTGCATATACAGGAATACCCCTACTTGAAACAGTTTCCCTACAATAAACAATGCAACTATAAATTTAAAAAGATTATATTTACATTGACTTTTAAATCTTCTACAGAAATTTGAACTTTCTTATGTCTAGAAATAATCATCTGGAAATTACAATTTATGAGGTAAGCAAAAGAAAATGTAAAAAGTATAAAAAATTAGAGGGTTGCATATGGAAGTGCATGCCTGTTCTGTGCTACAGACATCTAAAAACTACAAAACATTCTGGTTGTGTGGATTGCCCTTTCAAGATTTTTAGTGTTTGTTTGTTTTTTCAGCAAAAAAAAAGGAACTCTGGAAATGAAATAGGAATGAAGGCACCTGAAAGCTAAATTGATATGATTCTTTACATTAAGCATATAATTTACAAAATCAACACTGCAATGAATCCGGCCTTTGTGATGGTTATGATGTTCAGTTTTTGTTGAAACTGGTTTAGAATGTGTTGATTTAACAGGATCCAACTTTTTGGAGACTGTAGTTTGTGGTGTGGTGGGATTATATTGCGCTATTGTGATATTTTGAGTATACAGTAGTCAGCCGATAGGTAACATGAAACTGCAGTTCAGAGATAGATAGATAGCCAAAGATACTAGCATAAAATAGGAAGTCATCTCCACTGCCCTCCACTCAGCCCTCACCCACCTTGAGAAAAACAACACCTACATCAGAATGCTGTTTGTTGATTTCAGCTCAGCATTCAACACAATCTCCCCATGAAACTGATCAGCAAACTCAGCACTCTGGGTTTAAATACACTCTGCAACTGGATATTGGACTTCCTCACAAACAGACCCCAGACAGTCCTCCACTCTAGTGCTCAACACCGGAGCCCCCCAGGGCTGTGTGCTCAGCCCCCTCCTGTTCACTCTGTACACAACTGCATCCCAAACTGATGGTACCCATCTCCAGTCAGTGATATCGGTGAGGTGAGGTGCCTACGCAGAGCCCAAAGGATACTAAAGGACAGTACCCACCCAGCCACAGCCTGTTCACCCTGCTGCCTTCTGGGAAGAGAGATAGAAGTTTCTGTTGCCACACCACCAGACTGCAGAGCAGCTTTCCCTCTTAAACTGTAATTCATCCTCAGTGCTGCTCCAGTGATGATAGTTTATTTCTGTTTACCATTTTTATAATTGCTTCTATATTAATGTTTTTTGTCTGCTATGCAGTAGAAGGGCGATACAAACACAATTTCATTTCATTAATGTGACAAATAAATCTACCTTGTGCCTTGTATGCTTGCAGTACTTTATAAACAGTGTTGAACTTACATATTTTGTCCACCAGAGTGCACAGACAAAGGACCCATTTTTAAAAAAATATATGCATTTGTTAAAATTTCAGCTGATGTATCAGATTTTTCAACTCAAATACTGTATCAACATCGGTCTCAGACTCCAGAATCCAGTATTAAAGTATCCTATCTAACCAATCCTGCCTCTGTACCACCTGGACATCAGTAGCTTCCTACTTACTCTGTGTCGGTGATGACGTAGCCGAAGACATCATCGTCGGCCTTCTTCCTGCTGGCTTTGACGTCCAGCTGAAGCTCGGGAACGTGCATCGTCTTCTTGTGCAGATCCCCATACACAAGCGAAGCAGGAGGGGGCGCCACCTCCTTGATCCAGCCCTCCACCTCCGACACCTCCTCCACAGACTGGGTGGCGTCCTTCTTCTGCACCGTCACCCCTGCCTCGCTGGTCCGACTCTGGACGTTTTCCAGCCCCACCTGTTTGGCTCTGGTTGTCTCCATGTTGTTCCCATTTCTTGCAAAAGGAGAGGCGTTGAAGGTAGTTTTGTCCAGGTAGGCGAGAAGTTTAGAGAAGAGGTTTCCACTCTCAGGCTGAGTAAAAAGGAATTATTCTGAGTGAGATGTGGCCGACCAGAACCACACTTTGGCAAATTGACACTGACTGTTAACAACTTTTACATTTCAAACAGCAGCAGTTCATTTTTAATTAAGAAAAAATGGTTTCAGACAGCCACCATAACATTTTCTGAACATGTACAGAATTCTAGGCCTGAAATTAGGGTAAGAATAAAAAAGGGTCGACTACTGAGATACATTTTAAGGTGACGCCTCAGCACACCTACATCACTTACTGTGGCTGATTAGACCTCTTTGAAATTAGACCCCATTTACACTCCCTTCATGCCTTTGGGCAGAACTAAAAACAAGCTAAGTGTAAATGCACCGAGAGAGCATTTACGACAGGTTTAAATCAGATTGCTTAATCCACCCCCCCAAATATAATTGCAAGGTTTCATTAAGTTACATTTTTTCAGCTAATCAGGGGATTCAAAGTGGCAACCTTTATGTCATGAGGCTTTGAAAATTACCTTTCAGAAATTTGTAGTAAAACATTAATGCAGTAGTGCGATAATCCTTTTAATAGAGTTAGATTGTCCAATAATGTATCAAATGTTTGCTATCATTAGCTCAATGTTTTTTATGCTACTTTAATACTCAGTCATTGGCAGGCACAGTTATTTAAGTTCTCCAAATATCTCAAAGTCTTGACAAATTATTAAAATTTCAAGAACTCGGATCACATCTGAGACCAATTAGTTGCTGTTAAACCTCCATAAAGACATATACAGACATCGGACTTGAGTAATGAGACGTTGTTCATTCAACACCTTTTGTCTGAACAGCTAAAATTGAACTGGTGGGAGATTTCCTGTTGGTGATGTCAGTGTGTTGGCGATCTACGGCTAGAAGCATGAGGAAATAATTGCCTTGAATCAAAGAACAGCCAACTTGCCAGAGTTTATACTGAATAGGATTATAATGTGCTATTATCCCTTTGTTGCTAGCTTCAGGGTAATTGTTCGTCTTGTCATGATCCAAAAGCCAGCAGAGCTACAACGCTACATCAGCCGATAACCTACTTTTGTTAAACCTGTCTATTAGGTGCTAATAGACAGAACAGGTACGAAAAGCCAGAGACTGGGCTTAAAACTTTGCTCACTTTTCACTTGTAGCACTGTAATTTTTATTCTCCTGTTTAATCTTTGTGTTTTTTTATATTGCTTTGTGTTTCTTTTCTTAATGCCTTATGTAAAGAACTTTAAATAGCCTTTTTGTTGAATGTTGCTATACAAATAAACTTCCCTTTTCTCTAGTTGCTTTAGACTTACTGGTGTTTTTTTTCAAGATGTGCTACACATATTTTTAAATAACAGCATTATTATTAGTAGGTGTATTAGTGTTCTAACAATAAAACAAAAAGGATTCATTAGATATAAATAATTTGTGTGGGAAAACGTGCAAAACAGAACAGCAAAAATAATGATCTTTATACATGATTTATACTGTCCTAAAACGTTATGACTTAAACGAGACTGGATTTACTTACTCTCTCTCACAAGAATATTGAGTTCCTCAGGTCACTTCAACTTCTGAACAGTAGCTGATGTCAAAGACAATTTTAAAGTCTTTTGAAAACTGCAGGCTATGGGGGTTAATTTCCTTCTTCGTGCAGAATGTTACATAATTGCTCATAATGTCAACCTTCCCTCTGACATTTAAGTTGGGCTAAATTCTTAGCACAAACTGAATGCTTACCTTGTCCTTCACATTTTGCTCCTCTGTATCTGTGTGGTGCTCTGTTGGGGTAAAGAAAGTCAATGTAATCATCAGAGAAGAACAGAGAAAGAGAAATGTTCAAGCAAACGGCATGGAAGGAAAATCTTGCCCAAGAAGTTAAAGAAAGACAGCTTTCCAAATTCAAGGAAAAATCACAAAGTCATTCTTTTTTAATACTAATAGACTGATCTTGTGGTTTTCACAGATTACGTTTTCTTTACTAAGCACTGAAAATTTATATACGTTTGCAGGTTACTAAAGACGCCAAGCCATAATTTTGCCATACGGTTCATTATTTTCAGCCATTTTTCCATTATGTGTTCACTTTTACCTGTAGTGTAAAGATTTTTAGCCAGAGTGGTCTCAGTGGACACTGAACCATTAAAACAGGCTGTGTTTACACTCAGCTAAACAGGATGCCTATTTATTTTCACATGGATTTTTATGTTGCACTCCTGAGAGCGCATTTTCATTTAATCCTACCTACACAATTATGTTTGTACCAAAGACTTGTGTTCCAGATTTTGCTCAGTACTTGCTCAGTACTTGCTCAGTACTCAATACTTCATAGTGTAGAACACACAATTAATCACTATAAAATGACCTTGAAGTGTTGCTATAGGAGTGCTCTCCTGTGGTTTCAGTGTCGGAGCATTCTGAAGCAACTTGTCCTCTTCCACATCCCTGGCAGCCTCCTCTTCTTTCTCCCTGTCGCTCAGCTCTCCCCCCAGGTCTCTTGGTCCAGGTCTAACCCGGGTCAAGCCCGCGTTTAGTCCCTTGTCGTGGTCAACCACCTGCAGAGCATCAGCTATCAGGCTGGACAGTTTGTCCAAGTCCTGTGGCGTCAGGTCATCCACATCCACGTGTTGCCTGCCAGCGTTTTTCAAAACTTTCTCGATGAACCTCTCTGGAGGAGACAAAGAGGGAAGAAAACGGTGAGTAGGACACAGGCAGTCCTCACCAGAAAGAGACAAAAAGCATTGGTTGTTAAAATACTTGAATCGAGTTTACTTGAGACAATCTCACCACCAGGTTCATATAGTTTATGTCCTGAAGCTTTCAATCTCAGATGAGAGGTGAATCAAATAGCTCAAATCAGTATTTTAGGAATTTCAAATCAAATAAAAGGGGTCACTGGTAGTGATGAACCTACAGAGAATTAACACGTGAATCTCTTGCCCTCCAGGATTTCGCCATGTTGCAATCACAACAATCAGCACAAATTTGACCTATCATCGTCGCCGTTTTCTTACTTGTTTACAAGAAGCAGCAGACGTGTGATACCAATGTCTCAAATTTGACTACAAAAATATCAGCAAAAGACCGTGAAAACAGGATCCAGATCTTCTTTACCAAAGCGGGGGTAAACTGTAATGCAAAAGGTGCAGTATTGTGGTTACTGTTTTAAATATGCATTGTTCGGGTTAGGATTAGGTCTGCGAAATCCTGGTGGGACTGTTTAATGATTCAACAATCATTCTAAAGTTAAAATTATCACATCTACCTTTGCAGTTTTCACTTATTCCCACAATTTCATTGCAAAAAAACGCCCCAAAAACATTGCAACGTTCATCACAAATCTTTAGAAAAGCTTCCGCAAAATCAGGCATTTTAGGCCGCAACAATTACAAAAAATGCCCACAATATCCGGGAGGGACTGGAATCTGCAGCTCCCCTGGACTTCACAGATCTTTATAGTGGGTTCAGTTCATTGCTTATCTCTGAGCCCACAACTTTACTGTTTTGGTTCACTCTCCCGGATCTCATGGTAGTGTTTTTGACCGTAGCAGGAAGCTGTTTTCAGAGAAAAGGCTCTAAAAACCAGAGGTGTGGACTCGAGTCACATGACTTGGATTCGAGTCAGACTCGAGTCTCTTGTCCCGATCCCCTGTCCCTGGCCCTGTACCTACAATGGGTTGTGTCATCCTGTTCTCATGCTCAGGAGTCACATAAACACGCTTTGGAAAATCCGTGGCAAAACGGCGATTTTGCGTGTGTAGGATACGCCCCCAGGTTCGTGTTTATGAGACGCATCCAGGCCGCGTGTGTATATGGCCCAATCCCAATGTCCCCTCTCACAGACTCACAGACTTTGAGGCATGTTCCCGGGAAGTCCGTGAGGACTTAGGGCTGTCCCACTGACAAATCGTCAAGTGTGCGAGGGCTCTCTCTCTGACATTTTGAGCCCTTTATAGAACCTTTTCGTAAGTCCGCATTTCTGCAGACTTTGGCTGACGTGAAACACGGGGGTTACCAGCGGAAGCCCGGAAGCGAGGAAGGCTACCTCTCCTCCACTCTGTAGGGAGAGAGCCTGCAGGACTTAAAAATAAGGCAAAAACATAAAATAAAGTGTTTCAGTGTCGTCAAGGTAACGTGATAAAGTGGCAAAGGGCTGTCCCGTTCCTGTTTACAGCATTTTGAGCCCTTGTAGCCTCTTACACTCAATCTTTCCAAGTGACGTCAGTAAAGTCTGTGAGGGTTCAGCTCTTAGGGTTTAGTGGGGACATTGGGATTGGGCCTATGACGCCCTAGGGTGATCGGAAATGCTAGTAGTGCATCCGGTCGTTAAGTAGCTAGAAAGCTAGCGATGTTTGTGTTTAAGGAGTTGACAGCCCCCCGAGGCAACTTAACCTAACCTCAAACATCTCAGAAGTTAGTGCCTAAACCTGAGATGAGATTGGTTGCATACACACACACTAACACACACACAGAGCCTCCTCAGTGACCCATCCGTCCCCCAAAGCTGTCAACTTGGGGGAAACACTGCGCTGCTAAAGTTAATAATGTTGAATTATTATTTCATGGGCTATTTGGGATTTTGGAGTAATGCATATCTAATAGTTTTTAAAAAGAAATGATTGCATTTTAAAAGTTCAATAGATTAATGTTTCCTTAGTCAATGAGTAATCCGGTTAAATAATTGTGATCAAATATATTGACCAAAATAATTAGCAGCCCTGCATGAACATTGAATTTAATTCATGAAATTATAAAACATTTTTTTATTTTTAACTTGAATTGAACTGAAATGGTTTTAAATTTGGTGAAGAGTGCAGTATGACTTGTTTAGGACTCGAAACTCAAAGTTTAGGACTTAGACTTGACTTAGGACTTGTTGGTCTTGACTTGAGACTTGACTCGGACTTGCTCATCATGATCCGTCTGTACTTGGGACTCGACTTGGGACTTGAGTGCAAAGACTTGAGACTTACTTGTGACTTCTTAAAACGATGACTTGGTCCCACCTCTGTTAAAAACCCACAATACACCACCTGCTCAGCACCAAACATGGTCAACGGAGCATTTAGCAGCTAAAGTGCCAGATACTTCTCCTCAGGAGCTGGTAGAGACCAAAAATAGAGCTAAACAGAATGAATATTGAGTGACTTCATTGGACGGACAAATACACAACTCTTTGCTAAGAAGTTGGCCATATCAGCTTTAAAGATGATGTGTTTCCAGCTGCCCTCAAACCGCAAGAAAATCAGTTGAAAATTTTAAATGCTCAGAAAAATTTTTATTTTAACATCCACAATTGAAAATGAGGAAAGACTATATGACATGATTGAAAGCTCCAGAACAGCTATTAAATGAACCTTGTAATAAGACTATGTTTATGTTTTCCATCACGCAAATAATGATATATCCTTATCCAGAAGATACTCGAGGTCTTGACTAAACCAATGTGAATGGTGTGTTTGTATGTGATTATTGAAAGGTGTTGTAGCCTTGAAAGTGAATGACATGTCCTGCCTGAACTAAAGCAAAGCTCTAGGTGTCAGTATAAATGTGACGCTGATTTTCTAATGTTAATAGCTATCATGTTGCACCTTAAAACACATACCATCAACAGACGTTAGTGGGTCCTTGACTGAAGCCCCTTGAGTTCTCCCCAATTTTAGAAGCCTGGATTTCGCCGTTTCCTTTTTGAGCCCAGAATTTTCTATTCCGTTGTTGTAGAAGGGCCTCAGGCGGGATGAGGGGGCCTCCTGCCCCTCGGGGCTCACCCCACCACGGTGCAGGGAGAGATGCTCGGAGAGGTACTGCCTCAGGGCACCAAGGAGAAGGTCACCCTCAGCCTGTGTGGCGAGGAGCTGGTCACCTGGAGGTCTCTGCTTCTGTAGAGGTAAGAAAGATGAAAGGGGAGAAAAGCTGGAGGGAGACGACCTCTGAGCCGAAGTCTGGGCCTTGGAGCGATAAAGGTCTGCAGGTACGCCTGACTGGAAACGGTCACTCTGAAAGAATCAAGAAAAGTACATATATTCACGTAGCCATTCGGAACCCAAACAGTAAACATAACTGGAGGGAGGGAGACAATAGAAACCGCAATGGAAAGAAAAACAAACAATACCTCGTTAAGCTGTAGAAATGCATCAATTCAGACATAAACTTAAACATGTGAGTTGCTTTGGAGAAAAGTGTCTGCCAAATAAATGAAATGGAACAACAAGAATGTTCAAAAGCAAATTTAACCTTTCACAATAATCATTCAATAAAAATATTAATTTTGTGTTGTTGTGTTGTGTCCTGGTGACCAAGGGGCTTAAGATGCAGACTATAAGTTGCAATCTCGCTCTCTCTCTCCCCTCGTTTGCAGTAATCTCTCTACTGTCTGATAAAGGCATAAATATAATAAAAATACCAAAAGCAAAAAGCAAGTGTGTAGGTGTGTGCGACAAAATTATACTTTATGCAAATTCTGGGAACAAGACAAACATTCCATCTGCTCTTTGTCCATCTCAGTTTGAAACACTATCCTGAAATAATGAGCAGGGATATGGCTGTGCATGTGAATGCAAAAGAGCACGTCTCTGAGGTAAAATGCATCCTGCCTGAGCAGCTTCTCTGTACTCTGCACTACATATGATGTGTTTTTGCTTCATTGCCACAGGACTGCCAATCCAATGCAGTCAGTCCAGATCATCATGCAATGCCTCATATACTTGTCAAAACGTGTTACAAAAATCTTACAAAAAATACCACACTGCAAGTTTTATTTATATAGCACAATTTATACCCTGTGTTTAAGTTCCTTCTTACTTCAATCCAACATTTAAACAAAATGATTATTGACATTAAAATAAAGCTGATTTATTTTAAAAACAAGTTATTAAACTATTTATGCAATTATATTAACAGATCCATCAGCTACAACAAAAGCAAAGAGTCACTGCCGGCTCCATTAACGCCCACCTACTGTATGAGCACAGAAATGGTACAAGCCTGTCTAACGGTAAAATTATCATAACAATACAAACAGTTGAGTTCCTTCCAGTATTCATACTTCTTTATGATTTGTATGTGCGAGGCCCCTTCTGGTATTTGTCACTGCCGGTCTCTTTATTCATCTATGTCACGCAGTTAATGCAGTTTATTCCACTCATGCCCTCCAGGACCCCTTCAGTCTTCCTGCTCGTTTTCGGTTCCACCAAACGTTAACCTGATAGAAAATGCCACGGGCCACGAGCCCTGAGCGACGCCTGCAGGCTCCACGCCATCGTACTCTTTGAGCCTTTGGTACAATCCCCCAGCAGGAGAAAGGCCTCCGCCATTCAGCCGGAGGAACCAGTCACGTGGAGAGTTATTAATTAGAGGAGCGAACTCCTGAACTCTCGGCTGGTATTATTTCGCTCATAACGGTCACGCTGGGAGAAGCCATCAGTTAGGACGGAGAAGCGAGAGTGGGGTGACAGTGAAGGATGACACCAGAGTCCCCGTTGTGAAGGTGTGTGTGTTTGTGTCTTTGTGTGAGTTTTTATGTGACTGGCTACTTGTTTGAGTGTCTGTAATTGTGTACTGCATGTGTATGTATGTGCACTCTTTTTTGGAGGCAGGTGTATGTGAAGGGAGGGTGGGGTTACATGCAGACATAAGGGGTAAAAACTAATGTCCCACCTGCTCTTACCCCCTTTGAAAAGGGAGAGAAACAGGACCTAAAGTTTACTGACCTTTACCGAGATCCAATCATATGTGTTTAATTTACTTAGATATTGTAATACATATTTCTTAGTATACATTATTAGTAGGCATGCACAAGAGAGGTCAAATAAGCAGCTGGTAACAGTAAAGAGACATGATGGCATTGCATTCCTTATTAGGTTTGTCAAGGCCGGAGGTGTCACTGGCAATTTTTGTAAATTGAATTAATCATTAAATAAAATAAACAGTTAAGGATGTCTATTTTTGGTAAATCCATTCAATTAAATACCTGAAAATGTAAAGTACTCCATTGCATTGATACAGAAATCATAAAAAATACTGCAATAAAACTTCACTCACTGATTTGCAACATACAACAAGAGATATTACAGCAATAGCCACCGTAGAATAATTATAGTAAATCTTTTGATTTTATTTTTATATTTGTATTAGACATCCGGGGTCTATACTCAAAACTAAAGCTTTTAACCTATTAAAAAGATCATTTTGTTGTTGCACATTGTTGTTTATAATAATATATGTTTCTGTGTAAAACATTAAATGTTTGAATAGTTTTCAGAATGAAACTTAATTGAAATATGGTGGTGTGCTGGGAAACATACAACAGTGTTATAATCTTCCAATTCTTCAATTCTAATACTGAATGATTAAGCATCCAGAAAACAAAGTGTTTTAAAAATGGATAAACTGGTTAGATCCACCTAATGAATGTGAGACAACAATGCAGAAATGTGTTTAAAACTTAAAACCCAAAATATTGTGAAAACCCACAGAGACCCAGAAGAGACCAATGTAGCATGTAGGAATCCCTCACCTTGCTCTGGGTGCTTAGACTGGAGGCAGATGATGTTTTGGGAAGGAGGCCGAGACGTTGGAGGTATGTCTGCAGATTTCTGCTGAGCTCCACCTCCACTGGCTTCACCCTCTGGTCTACTGGGTCCATCGCCTCAGCTGCCGGCCTTAGGGAAAGAAAAAAAAAAACAGGAATCTAGAATTAGCCCCCCCTGTGGTTGTATGCCTCTGCCAGCCAATCAAGTTTCAGGTTACATCCATGTCTGTCCAGACTCATACAATCTATATGGTGGATGTTTGTGCCACATTTTAAGAAATTCTCTTAAGGTGTTCCTGAGCTATCGCGTTCATGAGAAGAGGTCAGATGGACAACCCAGAAACATAATGCTTTTGGACATGCAGAGGCCTTAAAAAGGAGATGGAGATGGGAAGGAAAAGTGCACATCACTGTATCGGTGTACACATCAGTATTTCTGAGCCAAGTACAGCCTGATAATTCCTCTTTACCAAGTCATTACTACTGAATATAACTATGTGCAAAATTTCTATTATTTTCAAAATTCCGGTACATCATCATTTATGCATCTCTCAACCTCAGCTTACTTCAACCCTTTTTGTCAGTATCAACCTCCACTTTATCATTTACATTAGCATCATTTCACTAATTGATAAATCGTCCTTACTCTTCTCAGTCTTTAACATAATCATCTTATACAAACATATTCTAACAGACAAGTTCTTAATTAACGAGGCACTGAACACAGTCTACTGGTTAAAAATGCTGCATCCAGAGTTGCACAAGAAAAGTGTCTTGTTTGTTGATTAGAGGCTAATGCAGGAAAAAATGCCACAACCTGTCAATAAACCTGCTTTTTACACAGCTGAGCTTTTAAGACTTTCTCATCTACATCATCTCCCACATGGAGAGTAATGCGATGGACTAGAATACAAAAAACAGAAGAGGTCTAATCAAAACAACCAACATGTTAAACTAACAAAAAAAATACAAAACAAAAACTCTTATACAGAAACAGCAAAAGGACTCTTTGATAGTCTTTGACTATCCTAAGTCGGACTCATTTGACATGAATTTTAGGTTTTTTTCAAACTAAAATACATGGTTGAGTAACCATATAAACCGCTCAGCTCCTTTCTGTCCAGCAGAAAATGTTCTTCTGGAAGAAGTCAACAGTTTCTAGGACACTTATAGGGAAAATTCTGCAAAGAGCATAACAATACAAACAAACTTCCAGGAACATTAATTAACCTCATTGAAGTGCAGTCTTATAGCAGAGCTGAGATGCTGTGGTTTGTTATTGTGACAGGACTCAGGACAGTACTTCTAATTCTTGTCAGGCTCAGGATAGTTTACTTTGGACAAAATAAAATCAATCTTCAATACTGTATCCAATAAGTTACTGAACTCTCGCTTGCTTCACAACATTGTAGGCAAATTAAAAATTAGAGCCATCATTTGTCTTGTTCTTGTCTTGGCAGTTCGGTGGCTAAGTGTTTAGGGTTGAAATAAGCCTTTATTAAAAACAAACAATAAAGGCTTATTGTTATTGCAGTGTGCATTAGAAATAAGACTGGTCTAACACTTCAGATCATCATCAGTCTTAAATATCTTTGCCCCAGCACTAGGGAAACCCCTTTAAACAGTTTTTGGACCTTGGTGGGATCTCAACGGATCACAACAATACAGAGCTAAACATCTGACCGGGTGCCGGTGTAGACAGGTGCATTCTGCTGTGGCCTGTAGGGAATCCTCCTCAGTTTGGATAACTCCTTGGACAAAACCTGCTGAGTGGTGTCATCTTCCCAGGTCAAACCTACAGACAGAAACACAGAACCTTTAGAACCACATCAGAACATGCAGGCAGGTCTTCTACACCTGTGTGTCTCAGATGGAAATAAACGAACACTTAATATGAGTAACACCGCAATGGGGTTTTATGCATGAGAAAAGTCCAGCTGAAATGCAGTAAGTAGGGTCTAGAAAAAGAGGCGGGAAATCGCTGATCATGCAGTAGTTGTCCTAAACTCATTAGGTCACTCATTAGTGGAGGAGACAAGGCAACAGCATGGTGTCCTTGGAGACTCTGGAGAGCAGCTGGGTGTTTCAGTGACTAAGCAGAAACCATTACTCTCCTGTGCACTCGGGGATATTTACATCACCAACATGATAAAGAAGAGATAATAAGGAGGTCAAGGGTGTGTGCCACCCACACCACAAGTCTGTACACTGTCATATTATTAATGTTAATTAAAATAATTACAGTAAATGAACAACGATGATTCAAAAAGCGCAAAACATTGCCACTGAGCAGGTATTTGGTATTTTGTACTATTGGATTTTCCTGTGCAGATGATGCTTTTGTTATGTTTATCATGTTTACCATGTTCACTATTTTAGTTTAGAATATTAGCATGCTAACATTTGCTAATTAGCACTACACTAGCTAGAGGAAAAGTCAGGGGATTGCCATTGTCAGTAGGACACATCGTCCAGGTACTATGGACATTTGCACCAAATTTTGTGCCATGTCCATCCACTAGATTGAGATATTCCTGCATAAGTGAAAACTTCAAGCAACTGTGGGCTAAAGGAAATGTCTGGGGATCACCAAAATCACTTCTGGGGACCATATGTCCAATATCGATACAAAATGTCATGGCAATCCATCCAATAGCTGCTGAGAACAAAAGGTCAACATTGCCTTCTTTAATGCCTTGTTAGTTTCTACCATAGACATGGACATATATAAAACATGGACATTGTCTCCCTGACGTCCCCAATAGGTTTCTGAAGAGCGATTGTGAAGCTCAGAGTGGTGGCTCCGGCTGTCCCCATCTTGGCTGTGCCTGACTCTGGTTAATCCAAAAATGGGCAAAGAGTAGGACACCTGATAATTAAAGCAACCAGGCACTTAATTATGCATAACTTTAAAAGGTACTATAATTTAACATAAAAATCCTCCCCCCATATAGTTGTCATTAACAGTACATTTTTATAACCTGTGTAGAAACGATAAATTAGTTATAGAGACCAAAACCATGTTTTGTACGAGCCTGTAAACATGTTTATTTCTGCTGTAAAGTTGGGCATTTTAACATGGAGGTCCGTGGAGACTGACTCGCTTTTAGAGTCATCCTCGAGTGGCCATTCAAGGAACTGCAGTTCTATCTCACACAGGCTCCGCCCTCTACTGGACTCTATGGGTACTACCTCCTCCAATCACACGCACACACTTGCCCACTAAAATTTCATCATGCACATAGCCGACCAATAGGACATCGCTACCGATACGTGCGTGACGTATAAATAGCAGTTTACCTACTGCCTCAGCATCCTGTTTTCTTCAGCAAACGGCGAACTGCTCACTGAATTCACCACCTCCACGGATGGAGTCGCCACTTCTAGATAATAATCTTTGTACCCGGGCGAGGTGATGATGACCCATGTCCTGCCCGGACGAGTCCAGGCCCCCCCCCCCTGCCAGACGACCTGCGGCTGGGGAAGGGAGCGACTTGCCAAGTGACCGTTATGGAGGGAGAGAGGCCTGCTGACGCTGCCACAATCCCCCCTCTGGTGTTCAAGATGCCATTGTTTTACATGTGCTACTTGTGTAAAAGTATGGTAAGGCTTTTGAGAATGTGGAAACAGTTTTGAGTAAAACATGTTAATTACATTCCTCAAAGAGCTAAGTTAACTTCTCTCATCAAAGAGCTAACGTTAACTCCTGGGGTGAGGCTAAGCGTTCGCCCTGCGGCCTTGTGTTCATGAAGCCATTGTTGTGGTTGTGCTGCTTGTGTGTAAACTGTGGTGATGCTTGTGAATGTAAACTGTTTAGTAGAAACACATTACATTCTTAGAAGTGCTAATTCTCCACCACCAACCCCATCTCATTGAGCTAGCCGTGTTGAACGCGCCGCTGCGCTCACCGACGCTAAGCTAACGGTTCGCCCCGCGGCCCACGCCGATCTCCCGGTCAGAACTGAGTGAGACGGTGGGTGAGGCCCGGGGGGGTCCACTTCGCTAGTCTGACTGCCGAGTCTGCGCAGCCATAATGGTCTGCTTCCATGACGTGACAGCTGAGAAACGAGCTGTTCTTACTGTGGAAACTGGGCAATGCAGCAGTCTAATGTAGCTCTGCATTCCCAGCACGCCAACGAGGACTCGCACAGGCGCGTTGCTAGCTCACCGGTGGTGAAAGCCTGTTACATAAACAGACACGCCGCCCTGCCAACATCTCTTTCGCCGAGCGGTCACAGCGCAGCTAGGCTAGTCCGCTATAGCCACGGGTCGTCTACATAGCCTGGCAGCCAAATGAAGGGCTGCTGCCATGACGGTGACACAATGCAGTATGCAAGCTAACTCTGCGTTCCCTGTGCACTCATGACAGTATCCACGGGAACACTGCTAGCTCACTGACAGTGTGTGTGTGTTCCTAAAACACATAACCACATTGTCGCCATATGCTCAACCGAACCAGCGCAGCGTTTAGCTGACTAGCTGCGACGGAATGAGTTGAGCTAACGTCAATCTAGGTCAGATATAGCCGGAAAGACGCAACCAGACAACACGTCTCTTCCAGCGGTGCGGCCTGTGGCTTTTTTTTTTTTGCGGCTCATTTTCCCAGCAGCAGCTCGCTGCAGTGGAGAGGGGGATGCCCTGTCCTGTTTCGGCTTCACTCGGCAGCTGTATTGACTGCTCCACTGCTCCACTGATGACGCACTTACAGTGACACTGTACTGTGGAACAGCTGTGGTGCGTTCAAAGACACCAGGGAGCAACCGACCCTGGTGCGTTCAGGGACACTATAGCCCGTAACTCAGCCACCTGAACCAGCATAATGGACAAGAGGGCATTTCCACATGCTGATGATCAGGAAAATGCTGGAGACAGTGCAGCCTAGCAACTGGTTCACCGCCATCATCGACCTGAAAGATGCCTATTTCATGTCGACGTGACATAGTAACAGGGAATTTCTAGGCTTCTCCTCTCAGGGGGTGGCTTACAAATACATTAAGCTCCCCATCAACTACTCGCTCGCCCCCCACACGCTCAGTAGATGCATCACACTGCAAGCGTTGTGCGAGAAGGGCATGAAAGTTCCTTTCTACTCAAGACCTCATGGTCATGGAGAGATTGAAGCGTTGAGTGATCTCCACACAGCCCTGATTTTGCACCTCAACAGCCTGGGGTTGCGATCAATTGGGAAGAGAGCTCCCCCCAGCCGCTGCAGCGAACTATCTTGGGATTCTGCTCAACTACAACACTCCAAGAGCATATCTGTGCGCGTCGCTTGGTGGTCCACAGGCTGCAGCAGGACAGCTGCTGTTGGGCCTCAGGGCAGTAGTCCATCCGGTGGTCCCTCTGGGCTTGCTGCACATGCGACGGCTACAATGTTGGTTTGCCAGCCTGCATCTGGACCTCAAGAGGCAAAGGTGATGCATGGTGACCCCCCCAGCCCCCCCGCTTTCAACTCTAGTGCAGAAGGACCTGCGATTCTGGGGGTCTCTCACTGTTTGGCAGCGTGTGTGCTGCTCGGCAGGGTGTCATATATGAGTCTCTCACTGGATGTGGCAGGACCTGCCAGGAGAGTGCAGTGAGTGTTGTGGCTCCCAGAGGAGAGCTGAGGCAGTGGCTGACCTCATGTTGAGGGCTGGCCCCCAACCGAGCGGGTGGAGACTGCACAACAATGTGGTTCAGCAGATCTGAGCTCGCTTCGGGAGAGCGGAGGTGGATCTGTTTGCCAACACCCACTGCCTGGTTCTCAATTCAGCCACAGAACAGCCCACCCTTGGGGATGAACGCGTTACACACGCCATTGCCAGAAGGGCTGCTGTTTGTGTTCCCCCTCACGCCATCTCATCCCTCCAGTTAGGTGAGGCGGGAATGATTGTTCGTCATTCTGGTAGAAGTGATGAAGCCTACAGTGACAGAGCCCTGGCCTGTACCTCTGGTCTAGGGGGCTCTGTCTCAAGGGTGAGGCTTCATATGCACAATGCTGGTGTTGGACCAGTCTCTCTAGGTTTTTCTCTTAATATTGTGGAGAAGCAGACTCAGGCTGGTCTATCTGCTGAGGTCGCACAGACCATCCAAGCAGCGGGCAGTCTCCACCACGTCTTGCTGTAAAGCTAAGTGGTTGGGCTTTCAGCGTTGATGCATTGAGAGGGAGACGGATCTGCCTACCTGTTCGGTGGGATCCGTTTTCTCTTTCCTGCAAGGTCTGATGGAGAACGGGCTGTCGCGCTGCAGCTATCTCTCCTGTCACAGGGGGTTTGGTGACAGAACAGTCTTCACCCACCACCTCGTGATGCGCTTTCTGCAGGGTGTGAGAAGACAGCGACCAGTGTCGTGTCTCTCAGCGCCTCAGTAGGACTTGCTGCTTGTGTTGGTGGCTCTAATATCTGCACCTTATGAGCCCCTGGAGCAGTCCTGCTATCTCTTGAACAGCCCTGCGCTTTGCTCTCACCTCTGCTAAGAAGGTGAGTGAGCTGTGTGCCTGTCGGTTCACCCCAGCTGCATGCTAGTTCTTGGTGTCCACATTGCAGCCAGATTGAGACAACACACCTTTGTTCTTAAGAACATAAGGAGAATGTTCAGGTCCAGGACAATAAAACTGGATGCTTTCAACCCCCCTACCCCACTTAGGGTGCAGGGGGGTGAGAGTGCATCTGTTGTGTCCATGTGTGCTAGGCTAACGTCCTATGTAGAGCACACAGCCCCCATTCGATGCACTGGTCAGCTGTTCATCTGTTTCAGTGATAGTGCAGTCAGTAAAACCCTGTCCAAGAAGAGCCTGGCCAGCTGGCTTTGTGAGTG